AACCTGGACTTCTACCCTTTGCACATTAGGCCCCTCACCAACTCTCCTTCTCTTTCTCTGCTCCAGGCCTGGGTCCCAACATGTCCTCAACCCCCGCACATGAGGTGGGCAGGAGAACCTCAGTTCTGTTCTCCAAAAAGAACCCGAAGACAGCTGGACCGCCCAAGAGGCCGGGCCGGCCCCCCAAAAACCGGGAGAGCCAGATGACCCCCAGCCACGGAGGCAGTCCTGTGGGACCCCCCCAGCTCCCCATCATGAGCTCCCTGCGCCAGCGCAAGCGGGGTAGGAGCCCCCGGCCCAGTTCGAGCTCAGACAGCGACAGTGATAAATCCACAGAAGACCCCCCAATGGGTGAGCCTCACCATCACCCAGCTCCCCAAGAGAGTGAGCAAAGCTGCCATTATTCCCAACATCACTTCCACCTGTCCCTTCATTTCCTCATAATATATCAGAGCTAGAAGGGCCCTTAGGAAGCCTTTAATTCAATCCCATTTTACAGATGGGGAAACTGAAGCCCAGAGACACTGACCCAGCTAGATTGCCATCCAGGGCCTCCTTCATCATATCACTTCACCTTTTCTCTTCTCACCCTCTTTGGGGATCTCCTGCCCTTTAAACCATTTGTTTCTTACAAGGCCAGTAACTGTCAAGGGAAGTGCAAGGGTGGGTGGGTGCAGCTGTGGCTGGCTGATGCCCGGCTGAGCTCTGCTGGCCAAGGTTGGAGGTATTTCCCAGCACAAGGGGAAGCCAAGCTCTCAGCCCCTCTTGCCCCCATGCCATCTCTGATCTACATCTTCCTGACCGATTCCTTCCCTCCTCCCCTCCTCCAACCAAGACTTACCAGCCAATGGCTTCAGCAGTGGAAACCAGCCAGTGAAGAAGAGTTTCCTGGTGTACCGTAATGATTGTAGTCTCCCCCGGAGCAGCTCGGACTCCGAGTCCAGCAGCAGCAGCAGCAGCAGCGCCGCCTCCGACCGGACCAGGTATAGACTCCACCCGGGCCAGGCTCCTCCTAGGCCTGCCTCTAGTCCAGGCCAGCCTCCAGTTCATGCCAGCCTCCACCCGGGCTGGCCTCTCTGCCCAGGCCAGCCTTCAGCCCAGGCCTGCCTCTGATGCCCTTCTGGGGCCTGGGGAAGCAGGCATCAGCCATCTTAGCCTGATGAAGATGCCTCAAATGTAAAACAAACGCTTCTCTGCAAAATAAATAGAAAACATGAGAATGTGACTATAGTGGAATGGAGGGAGCCTTCCTGGGTTAAGCTGATGTTTTAAAGCAAAAGGTGTACCCATGTGGCCTGGATTTGGCCTGCAGACATACTGTTTGGCCAACATGTGTTTTTAAAAAAATGAATCCAGAAATGCCATATAAAATTCTCTTCAGAAGTCAGATCTGGCATATCTGCCCAGGACTGCTTTTAGATAGGGCATGCACTAATCACAACCACTGCTGAGCCCAGCCCAGGTCAGTCAAATCACTGCCAGACTCACGGGCATTTGAGTTGAAATTCTTCAAGTGTCCTCTGCTTTCCAAGTCATAGATCTGGCAGCTTAAAGAAGAGAGGACACCCACCTACCATGCCATTACCCACTCATCCCCTTCTTTTGAGGTGAGCTCTCATTGTCTTGTCCACAGCACAACACCCTCAAAACAAGGCCGGGGCAAGCCCTCCTTCTCTCGGGGCACATTCCCAGAGGACAGCAGTGAAGATACCTCAGGCACTGAGAACGAGGCCTATTCCGTGGGCACTGGCCGCAGTGTGGGCCACAGCAGTAAGTACCCTTGCCCAAGGCCAGGGATGCCGGGGGCCAGTGTTGGCCTTGCCAGCTCCCTGGCTGCTGATTCGCCCCCTCTCTCCCATTCCTGCAAAGTGGTAAGGAAAAGTCTAGGCCGGGGAGCTGGCTGGCTGTCGGAGGACGAGGACTCCCCACTGGATGCTCTGGACTTGGTGTGGGCCAAATGCCGAGGGTATCCATCATACCCAGCTCTGGTAGGCTTCCACTCTTCTTGACATACTCCTTGCCTCCCAACCGCTGTAAACAGACTCACAATTAGCAGACTTTTCCCACTCTCTGCTGAGCTGAAGAGTACAAGGGTCTTTGACAGTAAACACTTAGATGTCCCTGGTTACTTTCTGCAACTCTTCCTTTTTCATTACCCCCTGGGCTCTTTAAGTAGTTGATCATGGGAAGAAGCCAAGGGTCAACATTGTACCCCTTACAGCACAATGACCTTTCTCTGTCCCCACTTCACAGGGAGTCTCCAATTTTTCTTGGGTAGGCTAAGTCTTGGGGAGAAGGGAACTGAACCAAGGTCTTATTACATCCTCAGATCATTGATCCAAAGATGCCCCGGGAAGGTATGTTCCACCATGGGGTTCCTATCCCTGTGCCCCCACTGGAGGTGCTGAAACTTGGGGAACAGATGACCCAGGAAGCCCGAGAGCATCTCTACCTCGTCCTCTTCTTTGACAACAAGCGAACCTGGTAAGAGAGGAGGGGAGCGAGGATAGCATTTGGTGTGACTCACAGCTGTAGATGCAACCCCGGGTATTGGGTCAGGCTGCCAGGAAATTCCAGCAATAGACTGCGCTGTTGCAAATCAGGGGAGGAACTTAGATCTTTGAGCAAAAGGGTTGTGTTGACCTATGAGTCTGAGAGACCAAGTGGGCAGCAGCTAACAGACAGCATAGCTAGAAATCAGAGGACCATCAGTGACTGTGGCAAATGTGGAGGTGGCTCCCCACCCAGACTCAGGTGGCTTCTAGGCTTAGTTTTGCCACCTCTGCTTCCATGGTGGCAAGAAGGGGATAAATCAGGGATGAACATTCAGGCTCTCAATCCCTATTCTGTCATATTTACATATGTAGTCTTTTTAGGTCAGGGCTCCTCCATTTTACACCCTTAAATACCCTGTGGTTACTCCCAGTGTGACCATCAACTAAGTTCTTTTCATCTCTAGACTGAGAGTTCCTTGAAGGCAAGGGCTAGGTCTCTGTAACCTCAACTCCCCCTACAGCCTGGCCCAGAATGGGTGGGTGCTCAGGAGATATTTGCAAAGGAGTGAGGAAGCCTGGTGCTTGTTGCTCTGCCAGAGGGCACTTATTTGACCCTCACCTCATCCTACAGGCAGTGGCTCCCCAGGACCAAGCTGGTTCCTCTGGGTGTGAACCAGGACCTTGACAAGGAGAAGATGCTGGAGGGCCGCAAATCCAACATCCGAAAGTCAGTGCAGATTGCCTACCACAGGGCTCTACAGCACCGCAGCAAGGTGCAGGGTGAGCAGAGCAGCGAGACCAGCGACAGTGACTGACACTGCCCAGCCCAGCCCATAGCAGCCTACAGTGCCCTGCCACCTCTCTCCTCCCCTTTGCTCGCTGTCCTGGAGTGGCACCGGCCTCTGCACTGACTCATTCCTGGTCTTGGGACCAGTCTCAGGGGAAGCTGGGTGGGGGAGGTCCCTCCCGCCCTGAGTGCAGCTGGACTGTACAAAACACTCCAAAGGCCCATGGTGGCTCTGTGCAAGGAGAGGGGAGGTCTCACAGGCCAGAAATCTACAGAGACCTCAGCACTGTAGTGCAGGTGGTGGGCCAAGGTTAGGACACTGCATAAAACAGGCCATCCCAACCACCTCTGCCTGCTCGTGCCAGGAGATCTGTAACTGCCTATAAGGCCTGAGACCCCTGCAAGTGGTGAGGTGAGTGGGCATCTGCCCAGCTTAGCGGTGGGATTGATGTCTGTCCAGCCCGGAAGAGGGGCACTAGGTGACCCCCTCCCCTGCAATTGTAAATACTGTAATTAGCGGAGAATTTAAATTATTCTCATTTGTAACTGCGTTTCCGGGTCGCGCCAGAGTCATTTGGTACTAAAAAAGACTGGGGCCTGTCCCCACTGCCCTTCTTCCCATAGATTCCCCCACCTTTCAAACTGGTTTGTATTTATTTCAAAAGAAGAAAATATATTGATTCTTAGAAAATAAATGGTCTGTTTGGAATTCTTGGTTCTTACCTTCTGCCAGGGCAAAGGGATAAAAAGGGAGGTTCTGTCCCCGAGGGACAGTTAAATAATTGGGCCCAGTGGTGGGTGACTGCTGTGCATGCTGCATTTGTAAGACAACAGCAAAGATCATATGAGAGCTCCCATTTTCCATGCAATTACTAAGTGGCAGGCCCTTTGCTAAGCATCTTTAGATACACAGTTGTGTGTAATTCTTGCAGTATTTATGGGGAAGGTTAATAATAGGGTTATCTCCACAAAGACACACTGACATTTAGAAAAATTAAGCAACTTGCCTAAGTTCCCATAAGTAGGAAGTCGCAGAGCTAGGATTTGAACTCAGGTCTGCAAAGCTGGTTTTTAACCAGTGTGCCAAACTGCTGGAGGAAGAGTCTACTGCCTATTCCTTCATGAACTTCACATGTTTTAAGTCCTTTGCCAGTAGGATGGTCCAGATGCTTCAGGGTCACTATAGCTGTGAACTTCCCCTGTTCAACTGGGGATAGAGCAGGAACGTGGAAGGTTGCTCTTTATTCCCAACCCTGGCACCTTCTTTTCTCATTTATTTATTGAAGGAATGGCTTCCAAGTTCTAGGCACCCATGGGCTAGCATGCCTACAGATGAGACAGTTATGGGAAGTAGTTGCCCAGAGGCCTTGCAGCTACTGAGGAGTGGAACTTAAGACATAGACAGCATTTGTTGATGCCAAGCTTATAGTTCTCTGTGCTAGGTACTGTGGGTGGGATACAAATCAGCTGCAAATCATGTCCCTAAAGATTGTGCAGTCTAATCATTCACATAGAGCAACCAAAAATCACTATGCTACAAGGTGAAAAATCTCTTGAAATTCATGTCTCCTAGCTCCTTGTTTTTTCTTTCTCCAGAAGGGAAGAAATTACATAATACATCTTTTCCTGGGGCCAGTCAGCTGGCCCTGGCAAGTGTGCTAAGCAGATAGGCTGCTTCAGGGCCACACACTTGTTCTGGGATTGAGTTGCCTTTGTCGGCCACAGGGCCCAGTTCCGGGGAAAGGCCCCATTTGGCGCAGGGGTGTGAGGTGGTGGAGTATTGTTGAAGGAATGCCCAGAGACTGAAGGGAACAGCTGTAGCGGCTGGCGGTCTGAGGCCAAGGCGGGACAATCCCAGGACACCGGCACCCTGAAAGAGCGAAGTCTGTGAGGACGCCTGTGACGGCGAAGGCGAGGCTGTGAGAAGGCCGTGGAGGGCCGGCAGCTCAGCGGACGGGCGTGAAGGCCGAATCCTCTGGAAGCTGTGCAGACACCTCACGGGGACACGGAAGGGCTGGAGCCGTGTTCGGGTCCGATTCTCGGTGAAGAGGGGGCTCCCGGGAAGCGGACTTGAGGGTGAATACAGACTGTGGAGAGGCTCTCACTGGAGAGCGGTCCTCAGGAAGACGGGGGATAGGATTTGGTTCTCAGGGCGGCGGGCCCTGAGGAATCCCAGTTCAGGCAGTGAGCATTGGGGCCTGAGGGCGCACTCTGCTTTGCGTCCGCGGGCATTGGACGCCCTGGCTTGCCCAGCGCAGACAACCCCAGAGAACGCTGAAAGCGGGAAGCGAGCCGAGCGGGCAGCGAGCCCAGCGCGCGCCATACGCTGTGGCGCCTCAGGGAAGCCCGCCCATTCGCCAACACGCACTGTTCTCATTGGCTACTTAATTCAATAAATCGGGCTGAAGTCTTACATCCGGTGAGAGCGAGGTCAGGTCCCGGAGAAGCCGGAAGTGTTGTCTGGCGCGCGCTTCCCAAATGGGCCGCAACGCAGAAATCTCGGACGCACCGGCTGGCCGTGTCAGGCAGAAGATTCGTAAGGACGCTGGGTGGCGGGTGGCGCGGCCTTGGCGGACTGCAGTGGGCGGGACTTGCGGAGAGTGTAGCAATTAAATACTACTGGGAGTATCTTAAACACGAACAGGCCAGGACTTGGAGGGCACCGCCTTAAGGGCGTGGTCCGTGTGTACGTGGTCTTTGGCGGCAGGTAGGTCTGGTTCTGAGTGGGCGAGGACGTTGTGGGCGCAGCCGGATGTGAAACATTAGTCTGTTCCTTTCTGCTGGGTAGAATGGGGCATCGTACTCTAACCTCCGTGCCAGCCCTGTTTGCCTCCATCCCCTGTCCACGCTCTGAGCTGTGCCTGGACCTGGTTCTGGCTTCTGGACAGTCCTTCCGGTGAGTGACCCTGGCTCCTGGCTCCTCAGCACTGCAGGTCTGTGGCGCAAAGGATGTTAGGGGTGAAAGAAGAAACCTTAGGGTACAAAAGAGGCAACTGAGGCACGGGTGGCGAGCCAGTTACCTCCTTTATAAAGTAGGGTTAATAAGCCTGGGCAATGTAGTTGTGAGGATCAAATGATAAAACTGATGTAAAAGAAAGCACTTTTACTTTGCAATTTGTAAATAAGTGTTGTATGTGGAGTAGGTTGTAGGATGGGAGGCCCCCAGAAGGTGCAAGAAGGGAAACTGAATACTAGGACTGCCATATGCTTGGGGGCTCAGGTGGAGGGAGCAGAGCCCTGCGCACTGGAGTGGCATCCTGGCAGACCAGGTATGGACACTGACCCAGACTGAGGAGCAGCTCTGCTGCACTGTGTACCGAGCAGACAAGGCCCAGATTGGCAGGCCCACACTAGAAGAGCTAAAGGCTGTGCGCCAGTACTTCCAGCTGGACGTCAGCCTGGCTCAACTGTACCGACGTTGGAGTTCTGTGGACCCCCACTTTCAAGAGGTGGCTCAGAAATTCCAAGGTGAGTGCAGTGCCTGTGGCAGGGATTGGGCTTCTTGTAATTTGGTTAAGTTACTCAGTTTCACCATCTGTACAATAGGGGTTATATCTCCCTCATAGGATTTTATGAGGAATAGTCCTTCTGGGACTCCTTAGCATTCTCAAGATCAAGTCTGTGCTCTACTGTGGCACTTAAGGCTCTCAGTGGCCTAACCCCCACCTGCTTCTCCAGCCTGGGCTCCTGGGCTTTGAATAGCACCTGACACATAGTCATTGTTACTACTACTATTATTGTCCTGCTGATCACTGTAGTGGAGTGACAAAGATACTGAGCTAAATCCTGGCTATGTGACTTGGGGCTGGTGGTGTCTGTCATTCATCCTGTAAATATTTGCAGAGCATCAGCTTAGTGACTTAGGGATATAGCAGTGAACAGAAAACACAAATCCTCACCCTCATAGTGCTTACTTTGTGGCTCCTTTATCTGTAGAATGGACTGATAATACAGACCTCACAGATGCTTTTAAGGAATGAGAGTTCTAATACGGCTGTCTCTATCAACACTGTTCCTCATTCCCCTGGGATCCCCTCTGAGCCTTAGTACCTAGAATCGGAGGGTATAGGAGGAGGACACTCCAACAGCAGGTGCTATTCCTCTCCCCCTCCTTTTTTGTCCCCAGGTGTACGACTCCTGCGACAGGACCCCATTGAGTGCCTTTTCTCCTTCATCTGTTCCTCCAACAACAATATTGCCCGAATCACTAGTATGGTGGAAAGGCTCTGCCAGGCTTTTGGACCTCGGCTCATCCAGCTTGATGACATCACCTATCATGGCTTCCCCAGTTTGCAGGCCCTAGCTGGTGAGGAGTAACTGGGTCCCTGCCCCGAGGCCCTCCAGTAGCTTTCAGGGTCTATTCAGTTTTACCCTGGTCTCCAGCACTTGATAATAGAAGCTACCATTGTTGTTATTATTATTATTTTAGATCATGGGTGTGAATGGCTTTTGGAAAAGTTCAAGAACTCAACTGGGGAGTTCCTCAGGACAGCAAGTCCTCAGTCCCTTCTTCAGTGCCCAACACCCATAGTAGGTACTCAGAAAACATTGTAGAGGGATAGAACCCAAGCTTTGCACATGGGGTCTCCCAGGAAGTGGTGAGGTGGGAGAAGGTTGTTAAAGAAAAGCATTCCAGTGGGGGTGGAGAGCACATATACTAGTCTAAGGACAGGAAAGATTGAGGATACCTAACCCTGCTCCCCTTCCTACCCCCACACAGGACCGGAGGTGGAGGCTCAGCTCAGGAAGTTGGGCCTGGGGTACCGTGCCCGCTATGTGAGTGCCAGTGCCCGAGCCATCCTGGAAGAAAAAGGTGGGCTTCCCTGGCTGCAGCAGCTGAGCAAGGCACCCTATGAGGAAGCCCACAGGGCCCTCTGCACCCTGCCTGGGGTGGGCTCCAAGGTAAGGCCCAAGAGAGACAGGAGCTGCCCTCACCACCCATGCAGAATAGCAGAGTAGGAGACAAGGCAGGCCTGAGAGCTAGGTGCAGGATTGGCTTTCAGAGGCAGAGCAGGAAGGAGAAAAGATACAAGCAGGTATTTTATTAGAGACAATGCAAAGTGTAAAAAGGGTATAAAAGACATTGCCCTTTGAATGCATTTTTAGAAGCCATTTGTTCAGACACATGTATACGCTACTATGTGTATGTAAAATTTTCTAGAAGGAACCAGGAAACGTTATACTCAGTACCTGTTAAGATAAATAGATGTTTCTATTTTTATTTTGTTCCTCTCTTGAAATCATACGTACTGATAAGACTTTTTGTCTAATGTTCAGCAGGGTTAGCTAGCAGTAAAATGATTGAGAATGTGGCATTTATTGTTTTCTTTATACTTCTCTGTAGTTTAAACAATGAATTTTTGTTTAAAGAACTTTTTCTAATGGGCACCGATCTCCAGCCTAATATTAAATCTTGGCTCTGCCTTTTTCTAGCCATGAAACCGTGGCCAGTCCCTTCAGCTTTTAGAATATCAGTTTTCGTGTCTGCAAAATAGATATAATACTACTTTCTTCCCAAGTTATGATGAAAATCTGGCCCACATAGATTTTCATGCAGTAAGCACTCTCATCACATATATTTTTTAAATTGTTAATACATTGTGTATAATGAATGATTGAGAATATAGAATAAGAGTAACAACCTCAGAGTGGAGGAAGAAGCATCTGGCAGCTGGCTTTGCGGCTAGAAGCAGGATGCTTGCTGGATGTGCCATTTCTCCTCTGTGGCTCTATCTCTGTCAAAGGTGGCAGACTGCATCTGTTTGATGGCCCTAGACAAGACCCAGGCCGTGCCTGTGGACGTCCACATGTGGCAGATTGCTCAACGTGACTATGGCTGGCACCCCGCCACAACCCAGGCCAAGGGTCCAAGCCCCCGGGCCAACAAGGAACTAGGTAAAAAGAGAGGGTGGGATACTGGGGCTAGCAATGAGCCAAGGTGGTGGCAACATCTCACACCTCTCCCTAAAATGCCACCCTGTGAATGGAGAGCAGGGAAGTCATATTAATTTCATTTCACTGCTTCTGGTTTAGGAAACTTTTTCCGGAACCTATGGGGACCTTATGCTGGCTGGGCCCAAGCAGTGAGTACCTAGGATTCCGCTCCTCCTTCAGTCCAGACCCCTTAGGGTCCCTCAGCCCTGACCCAGTGGACCTTTCCACCATCACTGTCTCTCTCCCAGCACCTAGAGGACTCTCCATCCCCCCTGAGCCCTGACTCCAGTGGACTCTCATTGCCCTGACCCTGCTCCCCATGGACTCTACCTCCCCACAGGGCCACCAGCCCCAGCTTACCCTCTTCTCACACTGACTCCTCCCTGCTGCCCCTAGGTGCTGTTCAGTGCTGACCTGCGCCAAACCCACCAGCCTCAGGAGCTACTAGCAAAGCGCAGAAAGAGATCCACAGGGCCAGAGGGTTAGGCAGGGGGTACTCGACAAAGGGATTCCCCAAACACCTTTCTCCTCCATTCCCCACTTCTCTCCTCCATCCAGTTTTGTGTTGGAATGGAGGCTTCCTTCAGTTATATCAGGGGTCAGGCTCCCTCAAGTCAAGCAGTTTGCACAACAATATGGGGTGGGGGTTATCTGGAGAGACAGAGCTGCATGTTGTTTCATCTTCTTCCCTTTATTACAAGAAGGAACAATAAAATAGAAACATTTGTATGGAAAATGCAGTGGAAGAGGGGTAGGGTTGGTTGGGGAGGGGTTGGGGCAGGGTAACTCCCCAGTTCAGGGAGGGAAGGGAACCAGGTGGCCCCCAAAGCCTCCCATACAAGGGATCCTGACCCTGGACCCAGGGTCTAGATCTAGAGTTGGGGGTGCAGTGGTGGGGACAGTTCTGGGCCCGGCTCCACACAGCAGTCTCGACAGCAGCAGCCAGCTGCTGGCCCTATGTGGAAAGAACAGAGTTGGCTGTAGGAGCAGACCCTACACTCCAGTGTGGGGCATGCATGGTCTTCCCCAGAGCTCTGTTCCTCACCCCCAGCTGCTGATGTCAGCAGCTCCCCATGGCTCGCCGTCTGTCCTTGCCCCTCCTGGCTGGTGCCCAGCTGTAGCTTCCTCATGTGCCGTACCACGGCCGTGGCATTGAAGGCTTGCTGTGAAGAGAGTGGGAAGAAGGGACTTTTCAGAGTAGGAGATCATAGGACAGCATCTGGTGATAGGATTCTTACAACGGTTGTTATTTTCATTCAGATATTATTGATTGATCCCCGAACCAACCCAAAAACCCCTACAAGGCTTTATTAAATTACATTCAGCCATGTTACATATTTATACACACATACACATACATATATAAACTATATATAAAGACATCACTTTATATATATATATATATAACTAATTAATGTAATAGCAAATACGTAGTATAACTATGCATCAGGCACTCTTCTAAGCACTTTACATAGTAATTCATCTAATCTTCACGAAAGTCTTTGAGGTGGACACTACTAGTGTCACCACTGTCAAAGGAGAAAACTGAGGCACAAAGAAATTATGGAATTTGCCCAAATGTGTATCATTCTCTACTCAAGAAATCCACTGAGATGTCCCATATACACCTCAAATTCACAATGTTCAAAACCAAAATCATCTCCCCAAAATGAGTTTCTGTTCCTGGGATCTCCATCTCAGTGACAGTGCCACTGTCTACCTTGTCCTTGGGTCAGCCCCTTGACATCTCTCGCCACCAATATTCATTCTACCATGACTTCTTGCCAGTTCTACCTCCTGAACGACCTACCACTGTTCTCTCTTCCTGTTGCCACTACTCTGGCCCAAGCCCTCACTGTCTCCTCCCTGCAGCTCTGTCACAGCCTCCTAAGGGATCTCCAGTCTTCATTCAGTGCTTCTCTCTACATCCTGAGACCCCTTTCTAAAGGGCAGATAGATTCCTGCTGAAATCCTCTGGGACTCCTCAGCATCCTTAAGATCAAGTCTGTGCTCTATTGTGGCACTCAGGCTCTCAGTGGCCTAACCCCTACCTGCTTCTCCAGCCTGGGCTCCTGCCTCTCAGCCCCTTATCCCCTATTACCCCCCAGTCCCTGCAGTCCACCCAGGCATAGCACTTGCACTTCCTTGAATGATTGCACTCTTGCCCCTGGCTCTTTGCACTATGGTTCTCTCTGCCTCAGACATTACTGTACTGTGTTTGGCTAATTCCTATTCAGCTGTCATGTCTGTCAGGCCATCACCACCTTTCTGCCCCTCCTAGGACACTGTCGTAGGTTGGATTATATGTCTCCTTAAAAATTATACACAGGTTTCCTTCTAGACTTGGAGGTCAGGGACCCTCAGTGAAGGAGACTAGGTATCAGGGAGCACTGAATGAATGAGGTTTCTTCAGTAAGCATCCCTGAGCACTTTCTGTGTGCCCAACTTTGTCCTAGGCGCTGTGCAAGCTGAGGCCTGGATGGGGGTGGGGAGGGGTCCTGGGGAGGTTGGGACCCAGGACCGGGGATGTGGGCTTACCTTCCACTTGCTCTTGGCAAAGTTCTTCTTGATTTGCTCACTCACCGACTGGTGAATATTCTTATCTAGAGCCGTATCTCCTGCAATCCTGGGATGGGCATATGTGGAACGTTGTCTGTGAAAGTAGAGGCAGGCCTGGGGAACCCAGACTCCTCCCCAGCCCACAGCTTATGGGAACTCTCACCATGGGTGCTGCAAGGCCTGCTCACAGGTGAACCTCTTCTCTGGATCCTTCTCCATCAAGTGCCGGATAAAGTCCTTAGCTGAACCCCCAACACAAGAGCAAAAACAAATGGCATGAAAAAAAAAATGGCATGGCAGTGCCTGTGGACACCCCTAAAACAGACTCTACCCTCTCATGTCTGTCCTGGCATCCAAGCAAGACAAAAGGCTAGATCTGTCCATGCACCACCTCACCACACCCAAACTGTTTCTCTAAGCACCCCCACCCATCCCAGCCTTCCAGCTCTTTCTTTTTCTCCTTAAGAAAAACTTGTTCTTAGAACCACTTCTATTCACTGTACTCATACTGATACGTAAATGATTAATAATGGCTTCTCAGGTTTGCCTCTTAATAGGAGGCACAAAAGGACAGATGAAAAGTTTTATGGTGGTGGTTTAGGCATTAGGAAGTCAGCAGGGGACATATTTTGAAAAATACTATGTTTGGAGGCCGAGTGAATGAATGAATGCCTGTGAGTTTGTCATTTCAGGGGCCAAGCAGAGAGAAGCACCTAGGATGTGGGGTCTGGCCTCAAAAACAGCTCTTAGTCTGGGGCTGGGGAATCTGACTGAAGGAAGGCAGTGAGGAGATCACCAAAGCAAGTGAGGATGGCACCTAAGGTTGAGACCAGGGGAAGAAGGCAAAGCCCCCAATACCAGAGTCAGAGATGTCGTCCCAGTAAGGAGAGTCAAACTCGTACTCGGCCTTCAAAATCTGTTCAAAGAGTTTGGCATCATTCTCGTCGTAGAAGGGTGGATAACCGCAGAGCCTGGGCAGGGAGAAACTTTCAGTGCAACCACTGGCTCCAGGATGGAGCTTTGGAGGCAGTCTGTAGGGTCAGGGAGGGAAATTACCCCTCTCTGCTTTGCTCACTGTCCAGCTACACTAGCCTTTCTGCTTTTTAACATGCCACCATCTTCCCTTCCTCAGGGCATTTGTACTTGCTGTCCCCTCTGCCTAAACCATTCTTCCCCCACACCTTGAATGTCTGGCTCCCTCACTTCATTCAGAATGTTACTCAAATATCACCTCCTCAGAGAGGCCTCCCCTGACCTCCTTATCTAAAATGGCATCCATCCCCATCTCCCTGCCCTGCTTGATTTTTCTTCATAGTAATTTTTTTACCACCCGGCATTTTATAGCTTTATTTTATTGTCTGTCTCTTCTAGAGTGTCTGCTCCCAAATGGCAGACACTTGTCTGCTAAATCCCCAGCGCTTGGCACTGTGCCAGAAACATAGTATCTGTTGAATGAAGTGCTATTAGTTATTAATTGGTAGATATAAATATGGATGGCAGGAAGAAGAGAGCAAAGGGAGAGGAGAATTTCTGGAGCCATATGGCATGATGGCCAAGCCCCCACTCACAGGATGTAGGCAATGACCCCAATGGACCAGCAATCCACTGCCTTGCTGTAGGGCTTCTGAGCCAAGACCTCAGGCGCTATAAAGGGAAGGGGACGTGGTAGTGACAAATCTCTACCCTACCACTCCTGGTTCCTCCCCTGCCCCCAGCGCCAGCCCACTCACTGCATACCCACGTATCCTGGGGTCCCACAGGCTGTGGAGAGCACACTGCCGGGGTCCTCCATCTTGGAGAGGCCAAAGTCAGAAATCATGATCTTGGAGTCTTCATCCAGGCTGTAATACAGCAGATTCTCTGGCTTGGAGGGCAGGAGAGAGGAGAAAGCACAGTCAGGGATGGCCAGAGGCTGGCAGAACCTTCTGCCTCCCCAAGCAGCTCCTGGGAAACAGTGACCCTCCCTCCAAAAGTCAGTGTGGCTTCACAGCTGTTGTGTTTGGAGGCACAGGAAACTCAAGGAAGTTCTCAAGGAGGTTAAAAATTCCAGAAAGGACAGGGCCTCAGATGTGTGTGAGGGAATTATCTGTAAACCTCAGATGAGTACTATGAAGACCTTAAGGATTGTTGAGCACCTACGATGTGCCATACCCTGTGCTAGTGCTTGATTTCATCTCATCGTTACCATATCCTGCTGGGCCAGGCTGAGTAATCCCACTTTACAGATGAAGAGATTGATGCCTTGAAAGGCAAAATGCCATGCCTGAGAACTTCAGTTAGGGAGTAGTAGCAGGGCCAGAATTCAAACCCAGATCTGTCTCACTCATTCTTCTAGATTGGAATAAGCTGTACTACAAAATGAACCTCATCATAATCTCTTGAGAAGTAGGATTTCAGGGATTTCTGGCTTTTCAGCATTTCTCTGTCCCATCCAAGTTTTCTATAAAGCAAATGGGGACATTTATTAGAAAAGATAAGAGGTTATCTGGACCTTTGTGTCCATCTGAATGTCTGAACTGGAATGGGAAGAGGCAGCTCAGAGGCTTATAAGGTCCAATTTTCAGATGGGAAGCAGAGGCTCAGCAAGGGGATGCAGATTACTCAGGGTCACAGGAGTTTGCAGAGATCCCACCCCTGGGTGCTCCAGCTCACCACACACCCTTACACCCCACCTTGAGGTCCCGGTGTACTATGCCCAGGTCATGTAGGTACTTGACGGCATCCAGCACCTGGAAGATGAGGCGGCTGGCATCCCGTTCCGTGTAGAAGCCTTTCTCCACGATGCGGTCAAACAGCTCCCCACCTGACACCCTGCAGCCAGGGATAGGACACTCTGGCCAAGAGAGCAAGGTAGGGTGGGGACAGCAGGGAGAGGTGTGAGGAAGGGGCAGAGGCAGGGCCACTCACAGCTGCATGATGAGGTAGAGGTGGCCCCCACTCTCATAGATGTCATCCAGAGCTACAATGTTGGGGTGCTTGATCCTGAAAGGAGAAATACAGTGGCTCAGAGCTGAGAACAGCTCAGTCCCACTCTCTCCTTGAGGAATCAGCCCCTGCACACCTGGGCAGGACAGACCAAGGATCTGGGTCCCAAAGGGAAAAGCTAACTTATGATTTATTCTAATATAATAGAAGATAGGGGAGCACAGAGGTGAATACTAGGCTCTGGCATCAGAC